TAACTTTTTTTTACATTAATTAATATTGAAAAAATAAAAATTAATATTTATTTAATCAATAATTTAATTAAAATAATTCACATAACATTAATTATAAAATTAATATTATTTTTTATTTTTAATATCAATTAATATAAAAAAATATTAATTACACTTGAAAAATCTTTAAAAAAAAGGTTTAAGTATCATTTTGGTCCCTCAACTTTTTACTTTGGTACCAAAATTGTCCCTCAGCTTTAAAAAGTACTAAAATTATCCTTAAACTTTCATTTTTGATACCAAAATGGTCCTTCCGTCAGTTAAGTGGACAGGTGGCATGTTAAAATGCCACAAAATCATTTCTTTTTTTGAATTTTAATGACGTGTAAATCCAGTGAACAAAATTTTGCTACTGTGGCATGTTTTTTCCACGTCAAATTGCTCTCCCTTTTCAAATTCAATTTTTGTGGGGCCCACATGAAAAATTGTTTTCCTTTTCCAGTTTTAGTTGAGTTCCCGAAGGCCAAACGAAAACAAACACGAACTCAATACTAACTTCCAAAATTTGGAAGATACGAATCAAATTCAATGAAAAATGAAAGAAAAAGGAAATAAAAAACTCAAACTCATTTTAAGTTTTCACATAGTGCAAAATGAAACAACTTTTCTATGGAAAGAAAAAAAAAAAAGGGGGATCAGAAATATTTTCTCAACAACCAAACAAAGCAAGAAGCTAAAGAAACAGAGCAAAGAAAAACTAGCTTTACCATCCCAAACTACAAAATTGATCAAACCAATCACCAAGAATATGAATTTCGTGCTCAGAGCTATGGAAATGAAGTGAAATTGTGAAATTGTGAAATTACTAAAAGAAATGCTAGGGTTTGTTCCGTGAGGAACCCAGAAACTAGGTTCTTCAAGAAACCTTGCGTAACCTAGGTTCTGGGTTCATCAAGGGTTCCTCGCAAAACCCAGAACCTAGGTTCTTCGAGGAACCCAGGAGCCCAGAACTGGGTTCTTCACAAAACCCAGATCTGGTTTCCTTGAAGAACCCAGAACCTAGGTTCTTCAAAGAACCCAGGAACCCAAAACTGAGTTCTTCAAGGAACTGGGTTCCTTAAGAAACCTAGCACCGGGTTAGGTTTCGCCACCCAACACCGAGTTAGGTTCCTCGCGGAACCCAAATCTGGGTTCCGTGAAGAACCAAGATGAACAAGAGGAAAACCCAGCATCGGGTTCCATGAGGAACCAAGATGATGAAGAGGAAGAGGATGGTGAAGATGATGAGAAGGATGGTGAAGAGAATGGTGAAGAAGATAAACGATGAGATGATGATGTCGAGGATTAGGCTGAGGATGAGGAGAAAGAAGAAGATGATGAAATGAAAGTTAATTAACTTAATTATTTTTAAATTCATTTAATTTATAAATTCATTTTTATTTAAATAAAAAAATAACACATGAAAAAAAAATGTCATCTCATCACTTTTAGCATGATATGTTTTTCACATAATTATTATTTTTTTAAGAATATGATTTTGTGGCATTTTCACGTGCCACATGTCATTTAATTGACATAATGATCATTTTAGTATCGAAAATGAAAGTTTAAGGATAATTTTGGTACTTTTTAAAGCTGAGAGACAATTTTGATACCAAAGTGAAAAGTTGAGGGACCAAAATAGTACTTAAACCAAAAAAAAAATGGATTGGGAACTCCTTTTGGTTCGCGGACTGGGGGTCCAAGTTTATTTTTTCCTTTTATTTGTGCTTAGGGCTCTGTATTAAACTGATATAAAACCCATTGGATCCGAAAATTTTGATGTCCAGTAAAGAATTAAACCTTTTGTTGTTCAGCCCCATGAACCTCGACTATTATTCAGAGTTCAGACAATTAAAGCCCAATACTGTCTGGACTGTGTTACATAAAAAAATGCAAACCACCCAACTCAGTTTCTAATATTGGGTTCGGGCCCTCCCAATTTTTCTTTTACCCCTTAATAAAAAAAATACAGAAGACATAGTCTGCCTCTTATTGGGAAAAGGAATTAGGGTCTGCTTAGTAGTGCTTTTTGGAGTTTTTTTTTTTTTTTATATTGTTCATGAATGATAAGTTTAAATTTTTATTTAAAGAAAAATTTAAAAATCACTTTTAGAGATATGAAAAAATGAGTAAAAAGGAAGATTGTGAAAATCTTGAATTTG